TCTTAAAGAGCGTAAAGCTTGAGGCAGACCTTTTATACTAGTTAACTGGTTTCAAGAAGACTTCAGGGGCTATTTTTGGTTTAAAGTTTAAAGATTATCTCAGGGCAATAGTTCGAGGAGTTTATCTACCCTCTGTGGCTCCTGAAAGTTTAGAGTCTATGAAAATTTGGAACTCTGTTCTTCATTTTCCCCCTTTGATCAGGATTCTTCTATGGAATCTTTGATCAAAATGTCCAGTAATGGTAGCCAGGCACCATCCAGTTCTGGTCTCATGGCAAAAGAGGTACTTGTTCATGGAGGCAATTAGTCACACATTCCGTATCCTCCTCCTATTCTTGCCTCTCCTTTTCCTCTGTTGTTCCAGGTGAATAGAAACCAATTGTGCCTTGGATCACCTCTTGCAAGCTTTTAAGATCCCAGGCACTATACAATGAACTAGGAGGTAGAACAGAAGTACTAAACACATTATTAGGCCAATTACCTGGGATGTTCCATGAAACCATGACCCTAAATCTCCAAACCAAGGAACCAAATCCCATGAGGTGTTTGGCTGTACTTCAGCAGCTACTCTTTTTGTTATTGTTGTAGCTGTAAATAAATCACACTTTTGCCAATTCACCTTTTTATAGGTATACAACTTATTGACAGCAATTACAATAATCAGCTGTGCAACTCTTCCCTTCATCAATTTGATTTTTCCATCACTATTAACCTCCCTTATCCCTCCCACCCCCTGGTAACCACAAATAAACTTTGGTCTCTACACATTTGCTTTTTCTTGTCTTTTTATATGTGAGGTCATACAATATTTATGCTTTTATGATTGACTTATTTCACTCAGCACAATGTCTTCAAGCCCCATCCATACTGTAGCATCTATCAAGACTTAATTTCTACTACTGGCTGAGTAGTATTACATTGTACCTATGTTTCACATTTTGTTTATCTTTTTATTTGTTGATGGTCATTTAAGCTGTTTCCACCTTTTGATTACTGTGAATAGTGCTACAATGAATACTGGTGCACAAGCCTCTTTTTGAGTCTCTGCTTTCAAGACTTTCGGGCATATACCTAGGAGTGGAACTGCTGGATCATATGGTAGTTCTATTTTTAGTTTTTTGAGGAACTGCATAAGGGTTCCAATTTTCCCACATCCTCACCAACATTTCTTTTTTTTCTTCAAATCTTAGCCACATTAGTGGGAGTATAATGTTATCTCACTGTGGTTTTGATTTGCATCTCTCTGATGACTAATGATGCGGAGTACCTTTTCATGTGTTTGGTGGCCATTCGAATGTTCTCTTTGGTGAAATGCCTATTTCCCTTTGCCCTATTTATGACTAGATTATGTGCCTTTTTGATGTTGTCAAAGTTTTATATATGTTTTGGTTATTAGATTCTTATTGGATATATGGTTTCCAATGATATTCTCCCAGTTGGTAGGCCGTCTTTTCACTTTTTTTTTCTGATGAACACTTTTAAACTTTTATGAGGTCTCATTTATCTGTCTTTTGTTGTTTGTGCTTCCGTTATTATATTTAGATAATGCATTGATGAAAGCTAGGTATGATCTCATTGCCCCTGCTTGTTCTTCTAAGAATTATACAGTTTTATAGTTTACTTTTAGGTCCTTAATTCATTTTGTATTTGTTTTTTGTATAATGTGAGGCAAAGATCCTATTTCATTTTTCTGGTATAGAAATCTCATTTTCCCAGGACATTTATTGAAGAGACTCTTCTTTCCCCATTGAATGGACTTAGCATCCTTCTAAGAAATCCGTTGACCACAGATGTGTGAGTTTATTTCTGGATTCTCAGTTCTGTTCCATTGGTCTATGTGTCTATTGTTATACCAGTATTAGGCTGCTCTGATCACTGCAGCTTAATAGTATGTTTTAAAATCAGGAAGTATGAGTCTCCCTACTTTGTTTCTCTCTTTCAGCATTGTTTTAGCTATTTGGGGCATCTTGTATTTCCATAAAAGTTGAGTATTAGTTTTTCTGTTTCTGTAAAGAAGGCTATTGGAATTTTGACTGGGATTGCATTGACTCTATAGATCATTTTGAGTAGCTGCTATCTGTTTTTGTAAATAAAATTTTATTGGAACACAGCCATGTCTATTAATTTATATATTATCTATGGCTGCTTTTCCACTATAACAGCAGAGTTGAATAGTTGTGACAGAGACCATCAGGCTCACAAAGCCTAAAATATTTAACATCTAGTCTTTTACTGAAAAGATTGCCAACCCTTGGTCTAAATAACCTCTAAAGGTTCCTTCCAACTGTGTAATTTTAAGCCACACTTATGTTAAATACAAATTTCAAAGATACAATGTAAGAACATCAATATACGACAATTTCAATATGCTTAACAAAAATTTCCCCATGTTTAATTACTATTTGCTTTCCAACTTTCTTTTTTATCTACCACCTCTATATCCCTAATAATTCGGAAGGAAGGTTGGGCAATCCTACTTCCGTAGTGATACTGCCTCGGAAACCCAAGGAGGGGTCGCTATGAGTCGGGGCCGACTCGATGGCACATAACAACAACAACAACAACAACTATATCCCTAAAACTGAAACAGGTACTATGGCACCTGAGTAGCTAGGCTCCTGATTCAATCCTAAAATTTATAGGTCTAAAGTTGTGGCACAATGGATAAGCGTTCATCTGTTAATAGATATGTTGCTGGTTCAAACTCACTAGTCACATCATGGGAGAAAAGACCTGGTAATCTGCTCCTGTAAAAATTACAGCCTGGGAAACTCTATGGGACAGTTCTATAATGTCATATAGGGCCACTATGAGTCAGAATTGACTTGACAGCACACAACAACAACAAAATTCCTAGAATCCCCAGCATTCTAGATTCTAAAGAGCCTTTATTATATTCCAACCCAGGGGAATAAAAAAAAGGCTGTCAAGGAATTTTCTGACAACTTTACCCCCAACTTCCAGGTACAGAACAGTGAGTAGAGAGCCTAGGAATACCAAATTGAGTACAAGGACAAAAAGAAAGAAAAAGTTGCCATATATCCTTAATTTCTCCTTTTCTCAGTAGCTCTGTGCCTAAAAGGAGAATCATACCTATATTCTCATATTCCAAATATCTAATGTTTCTTTAGCTCTTTAACAGACCTAAGACATTCTAAACAAGCCTTGGTGGCACAGTGGTTAAGAGTTTGCTGCTAACTGAGTGGTTGGTGGTTCAAACCTACCAGTAGAAAGATGTGACAATCCGCTTCCATAAAGATTACAGCCTTGGAAATCCTATAGGGCAGTTCTATGCTGTTCTACAGGGTCACCATGAGATGGAATCAACTCATTAGGAATGAGTTTTTCAGAGTTTGTTCTTTTTTTTTTTTTTCTTTTTTAAAAAAAAAGACATTCTAAACAAAATAGAATAGTTGCTTAGCTCTCCCTTCAATGATTGAGACCACAGCTCTGGAGTCAGCCCTACATTCAAAACCTGGCTTTGCCTTTTGCTTTGTGATGGTAAGCAACTTACTTAGTTTTTCATGCCTTGGTAGTATGCCTATAAAATTAGAATGGTAATTATCTACCTAATAGGATTTTTTGCAAATTAAATGCAGTAACATTCACAAAATACTTGGCTTAGTGCCTAGCTGTGTTTAATAAATGATAGCTATTTTAAGCTCTTATCTATTTTACTGATCATCATCAAATAATTATCTTCAGAATTATTTTTCACGTGTGAATTTTTTAACCTCATACCAGGTGACTAATATTTTTCATTTCTTATAAGAAGCTATTAAAAACATTAGTCAAGGGTACTTTCCTTCAAAGTATTACTCTCTCTGCCAAGTCATTCTTTCTTCTACCTTCAGGCAATTTCATTTTCAGCACCTGGTCATGCAGTCATAATTGTACGAAAGGAATATGTGCATGGGAAGTTACAGTGGAAATATGGAATGCAAAAGGAATACCATTTCCAAATTAAAACAAAAGAAAAAAGGAATGCCATTTCCAAAGAGACCTTAGTTCTAAAGGAATGAAAACTTTTGACAGGAACTGGTCCCAATTTTAGCTTAGCAAAACAAAAATATGTGTACAATTCCTTTCAGTAGAGACATGTGAAATAACTTGGAGTTCTGGTGGTGTAGTGCCTAAGGCATTTGACTGCTAACCAGAAGGCTGGCGGTTCAAACCCACCAGCCACTCGTCGGAAGGAAGGTTGGGCAATCTACTTCCGTAGTGATACTACTTCGGCAACCCAAGGAGGGGTCTCTATGAGTCAGATCTGACTTGATGACAGTGGGTGGGTAATGAAGGATTAAGTAGCAATATATCTGCCTTCTAACTGCACTATCGTAGACATAAATTTACAAGTAAAGTTAACGGGAAATAGCTTGCTATTTCTTGCCAAAACTGGATAATAATAGTCTAGGGAAAGAGCACAGATTCTGGGGTCAAATAGACTACACTCTAAATCCCAGTTTCACTGTTTCATAAATGTCAAAATATGAATAAAAATTCCCAAACTCTTATATGTTGCTGTTACACTCTTAAGGACCCACGTTTTTTCCAAATATTAGACTGTCAAACAAGTGTATTTCCCTCCTACTTGTACTAAAAGTAGGAGAGGGTGATACAGAAGGCAAAGTTTTTTCAATTAAAAAAAAAAAAGTTTTTTTAAAGAAATCACAATAGTTATCATCAAACAATCTCAGTATTACTAGTTTCTTTATTTAAAACAAATGTAAACAAAAGAATTCAGCTTGTTCTTCAAATAAATAACCAAGTGGGTTCCAAGGTAGGCAGAAATAGGGTAACTGCCTTGTCCTTACTACAGTAAGGACACATAGTCCTTAGAGCAGTATCAGTTTTCTACTTCCTTGGCCAAATGTGAATGAATGGTGAATTACAGACAATGCTGGATTAGCACATATGCACAGATATCCAAAGTATTTAAAGTAACCTATTTACAATAATAGCAACTAAAATAAGATAGGGAGACCCTGTATTACCAGTACCTTTCAGAGATAAAACCATCCGAGGACACCTGGGTTCCAAGTATTTCTTGAGATCATCCCAGGCCTTTTTAATAGCAGCATAATGGTCAATGTATCTTCCTACATCAGAGTAAGTATCTATGAAGAGAGATTTCCAACACTGATTCTTCTGTGTTTTCTCTTCTCTAAATAGATTTTAAAAAAAAAGAGAGAGATTAACCATCTTTTGATATAACATTAGCATATTTTAGACACTTATCAACATATTTTATTGGGAATTTGGGCTTTTGCCTTTTTTTCATTTATTTATTTAAGCCATATATACAGACTAAATAGCACAAAATGATACACCAAAAATTCTAAAAGGAGTTATAGCTGGCATGGTGGGATTATAAATTACGTGGCTTCCTTTTTACCTATTTTTGTCCAAATTTTCTAACCCTTAATAAAATATTACGTGAAGAGTATGTAGGGTATGAATTTTAAGTTACATACCAATTATAAAATTTAAAAAGATACATTTTTTCTATTTTAGAGAATATTTAGAATATGATATAATAATCTAAACATACTTATATTGGATAGTACTAACCAGAGTATCGTAAAGCATCAAAGCAATTACACGGTGTAACATTTCTATTTGGCACAACTCCACAGACATTTATTGAGTATCCACTTAGCCACTGAGAACATAAAAAATAAGGCACATTTTTTGTCTTGAAAAATATATAGTCTAATCAGGGAGAAAAAGTTATGTAGATAACTCCAGTAACACGTTAAGACTAAGCCAGAAGTACTGACAGAGTGCTCTGGGACCACAAAGGAAGAGTTCTTAACCCAACCTGGAGATTCCAGAAAGCTTCAAAAAAGATGGGAAGGTTCCTGCTCATGTGGAAGACACAGCATGAGCAAAAGCACAGACGTGTAAAACAGCAAGGTGTCTATAAATAAAATCAAACCCACTGCAGTTAAGTCAATTCCTACTCATGGTGTTCCATGTGTTACAGAACAGAATTGCCCCACAGGGTTTTCTTGGCTGTAATCTTTATGGACACAGATTGCCAGGCCTTTCTTCTGCCATGCCATAGAGTGAGTATGAACTGCCAATCTTTAGTTTAGCAATCAAGCATAAACTGTTTGCATTACCCAGGGACCTTCAAGTGTCTATAGTGAGCTATGGAGTATTTCAATATTACTGAAAGGTAAACTGAAGAGTCACCAGAGGCAGAGAATAATGCACCCACAGAAACCTTATAGTAACATACTAATGAGCTTGGACTCTATTCTGTAGAAAAAGAGAGCCACTGAAGGGTTTAACAGGGGAGTTAAAAGATTGGGTTTGTGGATGTGGTTTGGGAGGGGTAAATTTAAGGGGTGATCTCTGGTGGTATAGTGGTTAAGACAGTTGGTTACTAACCAAAAGGTTGGCGGTTCAAACCAATCAGCTGCTCTGTGGAAGAAAGATGAGGTGATCTGCTTCTGTAAAGATATACAGCGTTGGAAACTCAATGGGGGTTGCTATGAATTGGAACAGACTCCAAGGCAGTATCATTTTGGTTCGGATGCTAACCAAAAGGTTGGCAATTCAAACCTACCATGGCAGAAAGATGTGGCAGTCTGCTTCCATAAAGATTGTTTTTGTTGTTGTGTTTGCCTTCAAGTCAGATCCAACTCATAGTGACCCCTCCTTGGGTTTCCAAGACAGTATCACTACAGAAGTAGACTGCCCACCCTTCCTTCCGAGGAGTGGCTGGTGGGTTTGAACCACCAGCCTTCTGGTTAGCAGTCAAATGCCTTAGGCACTTCACCACCAAAGCTCCCTACATAACGATTACAGCCTTGGAAGCCATATGGGGCAGTTCTACTCTGTCCTATAGGGTTACTACGAATTGCAATCAATCCAACAGGGTTTGGTTTTTGGTTTGGTTAAACTAGAGGCATAGAAAGGAGCCGAGAGTTTTGAGTGGTCCCAATAAGAGATGATGAACTAAAATAAAAATGTGATAACTAAGATGAAATGAACAGGAAGATCCAAGAAACGGAAGCTAAAATCAGAAAGGTTTAGTAATTGAATGAACGTAATGAGAAAAAAAGAGGGCAGTTTCAAAACAGGGTTGTTTTTGTTGGGGCTAGGGACAGAGAAGGGAAGTATCTTATTGTTAATTCAAATTATTCATGTATTATTAAAACCAAATAGTACGAAAGAACTTATAATGAAAAACCAGTCTACTTTAAGTGCAACTCCTCAAAGGAAGCTTTAGTCATTTCTGAAATATATCTATATTAATTCTAAATGTTTGTGCCTCTAGTTCTTGATTTATTAATTTTACACAGTGTAGTAGATTCTCATTATTTGTGGATTGCCATCTCACTAAAATTTGTAACCCCTACATCAATACTCATGGTACTTTCAGTCATTTATATATACATGCACAGCAACAAAAAATTTGAGTTACCCAATACGCATATTCCCAGCTAAGGTAAAATAAATCTCTCCTACCACAAGCAACTGTCCTTTTCAGGGTCTATTAATTGCCATGATTGTCCCTGGGTGATGCAAATGGATAAGTACTCCAGCACTAGCTGAAAGGTTGGTGGTTTGAGCCCAACTAGAGGCACCCTGGAAGACAGGCCTGGCAATCTGTTTCCGAAAGGTCACAGCCTTGAAAACCCTCTGGAGCAGTTCTGCTGCACACACGGGTCACCATGAGTTGGAACTGACTGGATGACAACTAACAACAATAACAATTAATTACCATGTTTTTTCACATTTGTATGCTTTTTCTTAGATATTTCACTGTTTAAAATGTCCCCCATCTCCCCGCCAACCAGTGTTGAAGTGTTGTTTAGTGTTCCTAAGCACAAGAAGGCTGTGATCTGTCCTATAGAAAAAAATATTTGTGTTAGATAAGCTTCGTTCAAGCGTAAGTTATAGTGCTGTTGGGAGTGAATTTAATGTTAATGAATCAACAGTATATATTAAATAAGGTGTCTTTTAAACAGAAATACAAAAAACAGAGTTATGTATTGATTGGTTGACAAAAACATTGTGATCAGAGGCTTACAGGAATCAAACCTTGTATTTCCCCTAGGAGCAATGGTTCAATATTCACTAATTCAATGTTTATGGTGACTTTGTAGACCGTAAGTACCATGATTAATGAGAATCAATTATATATCTACTATCATCCAGTACTGACTCACCTCATAAGCAAGGTAAGCACGGGCTTACTTGTAGTTACTTATCAGTCTGTACTGAACAATTTCATATTCACCACATCAAAGACTCTGCCTTCTAGGTATGGCTGCTGGCATATGTCTCTCTCCCAACCCCACAGCACCTTCTTAGAGAATCAAAGCTTCTTTTCAAATTTACTATCCCTGACAGGGAAAGAGTACCTAGTAAGCAGGTAAGCATGGGCTTACTTATGCTTAATTACTAATCTGGAATGAACAGTCTCCATGTTCACTACAGATTAGTAAGTAAGCAGAAGTAAGCCCATGCTTACCTTGCTTACTGGTAATTCATCCCGGCTGTCATTCCAAAGTGAACAATGAGGATATAGCAACACTTAAAATCCTCCCTTCCCTGCTCTTCCATTGCCTATGTTTGGTAACTGTTATTTTTTAGTTTTACTGGATGGCTTAGTACTTTAAATACACTTTAACTTCTACTTTTTATTCCACCAACTTCAGTTTCTACCCTGAATGCCTTCAATCTGAGAAAAAGATGATAAGCATCCCCACCCTTTCCAAAAGGAGCTCTGGTGGCACAGTGGTTAAGGCATTTACCTGCTAACCAAAAGATTGGTAGTTTGAACCCACCAGCCACACTGCAGGAGAAAGATAAGGCAGTCTGCTTCCATAAAGATTTACAGCCTTGGAAACCCTATGGGGCAATTCTACTCTGTCCTATAGGGTTACCATGAGTATGAGTTAGAATTGACTTGATGTCAATGGTTTTGGTTTGGTGCCCCTTCCTGTGGTTGCCTACCTGGCTCAAACGATTAAGTACGTGACTACTAACCAAAAGTTTGGCAGTCTGAACCCACCCGGAGGCACCTCAGAAGACAAGCCCAGTGATCTCCTTCTGAAAGGTCCAGCCTTAGAAATCCTACGAAGCAGTTCTACTCTGCACACATGGGATTGCCATGAGTCGGAACCACCTTGACAGCAACCAACAGCAACCCTTTTCTTTCACCTTTCCCAACTCCCAACTGCTATTTATTCTGTCAAATTCTTGGCTTTTATTCAGTCAAATTTGTTAACATGTATTGAATTCAGTGAACCCCTAGGGGCATACAATGGAAAGGTCCAGAAGACAGTTATATAAACAATTGTGAAGTTCAGGGATCTTAGGGCTGGAGTTTCAGGTTTGGGAGTTAGGAGCACACAGGTGGTCAGTCACAACAGTTGATGCAACAGAGTTCAAAGAGCGAGAAGAGCAGTGGCCAAAGACAGACTCTGGAGAACAATAATTACTGGCAGGAAGAGCCATCAAAAGACATAGATAGGGAAGGGCTAAAGAGAACAATCAGGAAGCCAAGGGCCTATTATCAAAAAACATACATTTCCCAGCATACTCACTCAGATATAAGCCAGTATTTTTTGCAATGTCTTCTCCACAGTGGATCATGATTTGATAGCTGGCTAAGTCTTCGACTGACATGGCAACAACTGGCAGTAACCAGATTCATGATTAAGTATGAAAGAAAAGAAGAAAATAATTTAAAAATAAAGATTAAAAATTAAATTTAAAGTTTTGTTTCATTCTTTTTTCTTTTCTGTATTAGCCATTTTCTACCCTTATAATTGCTCAATATTTTCTAGAACCTGTTTAACATGTTAGTTAGCTCATGTAATTACCTTGTGAGTAATGAAATTTTACATATTTGAGTTCACAAATAAACCCTGAAATCTTTGCAGTTGTAACTTTCATATGAAACTCTGTAATATATAATTCTGTTGGAGTTTATCTGAAATCAAGGAGCTTTCCCACATTCATTACTGCAATAGTCATTTCTCCATATAGGAAGAAATGTTAGTATTTCGTATTGGTATTTGGTACGTGCCATTGAGTCGACCTGAGTCATAGCGACCCCTCCTTGGGTTTCCAAGGCAGTATCACTACATAAGTAGATTACCCAACCTTCCTTCCAAGAGGAGTGGCTGGTGGGTTTGAACCGCCAGCCTCTGGTTAGCAGTCAAGTGCCTTAGGCACTACGCTACCAAAGCTCCCTGGAAGAAATGTTATTCAGATGTAAACAAAGTGACTTTTATTTTTTAAGTTCTGTGAAACTTCCTTGCTACTAAATCCACAGATTCTTTGCTTGTTTTAAGTTTTCCTTAAAGAAGAAAAGAAATATTACACCCAATGCCACTTTTTAATTACAGCAACTATTGGAGTCTACCTACACAAGGTGTCAAATCCATAACAGTTCTGGTCAATATTCAGGGTATACAGTTAGTATCAGCTGTTCAATAGCAAGGACTTTTTGAAGGAAACAATTTTCTTACTATATAGAGGTAATAACACAACAGCACTCTAATTCTGTAAATGCTACCCTACATGCTTAATTTGGCAAGAAGGAACCAAAGATTAGCTAAATGGATCTTTATCCTTTCAAAAGAGGAATCACAAGTTACAGAAAGCAGGCGCTCAAAGATCTCACCTGGACAATAGCTGATCAGTTAACAGAATCTTAAATCACCAGGGGTTTGTATAGGTTATTGGCAGGACATGTCAAAAACCAATCTATGGTAAATGGAACAGGCTTTGTTTGATTTTCAGATTTTACAGTTACATCAACCTCATCCTCTTCTGCCAAGCTCAGCAGATGCCCAAACTAACTTTCATAAATGGAGGAATCCCTCTGGTTTTCTGAATTCAGTTTCCATTTCCTCTTTTTCCCCTCTTCATCTTCCCCACTCCGGGCAGTTAAACAACATAAAAGAATCTCTGGATAAGTACCAAAGGCAGTTTAGATGCACAATTAAGGTTGAGAAGTACTGCACCAAAAGCTTGAGGTGAGATCTAGGTATATGCATATTTAAAAAGTGCCACAGGTGATTCTGATGCAGAGAGGGTTAAGACTACTACACAATAAATCACCCTGGCAAGGAGAAGGCATCATGCAATTTAAAAACCAAGTGGTGTAGCGGATGTTATAAGATGATCCCAATGGGCCAATCTGTCCAATCCAATCCAGTTCAGCAAATATGTACCAAACATGCCAGGGCTCAGCAATAGGCTGGACCCTTGACAAAGCTGGGATGCATAGCGCAGGAAAGTGGCAGTAACTTGGAAACTTTTCTGTGAATAAAATACAATGGTACTCAAGTCAATTTACTTCCATAGTAGATTTATGGAGGGATCATGTCACTTCTGTTCAAAACTTTAATTACTCCCTGAAGCATTTTAAATAAAATCTGATCTCCTCACCTTGGCTTACAAGCTCCTGCATGATCTGGCCAGCCTCAATGCAAGCCACTCTGCCGGTGAGTCACTCCCTACCTCTGGCCACACCAGCCTTCCAGCTCCTCCAAAAGGCCATGCCACCATCCAAGCGACTTCCAAGCACACTGTTCCTTCTGCCAGGACAGCTCTACACCATCCTTCATACACGGCAGCTCCTTCCAATTTGAATTTGATTCTCCTTCCCTTTCCCATTCTTTACCACAGCAATCTGTGTATTTCCTTCGCTATGAAGGAAACTTAGCACCTTACAATTATGTACTTGTTTACTTATTTTTCCATCATGTCCACTACACTTTAAGCTTCATGAAAGGGAGCTTGTCTATCCTGTTCACTATTGTATCCCTAACATTTAACAGGCTGGCACACAACAAGTACTCAAAAAAAAAAAAATGTTGATGAAATGTTAAGTGGTGAACACAAAGATAAACAAGATAGTCTTTGCACCCAAGAAGTACACAATCTATCTAGCATGGCAAATATATTTTGCAGAGGAAAGAAGAAGGTGGAGAAAAAAGTCAGGAGAGGAAGTTTTAAGGGAATTTCATCTTGCCAGGTTGCGAAGAGGCAGGCGGGCATTCCAGACAGGGTCAAGAGCTTAAGCCACAGAACTACAGAAGTGTGTGGAATGCTGGCACCAGTCTGATTTGGCAAGAGTAAACAGCGCAAATATGATAGTGGAAGAGAAATAAGGACTGAAAGATCTTAGATAAGCCAAATAATAAAGGCTTTAAGTGCCCTCCCCAGGAAGTTTATGTTAAAAAGTCTGTAACCACCAAGGGGGGATGACAGGTTTTTAAGCAGGAGAACCACAGAGCCTGCCCTGATCTTAGCAAAATCGCTCTGACAGCAATGTAGCCCATGATCAAAAGTGAGGGGGGTTAGATTTGTAAAAGGTAATAGCAACAGAAAACTTCAGATGAAAACTGTCTGCTGCTGGAACAGCCTTTTCCAAAGAAAAGATAAAACTTTAGTTTTCCGCTTTGGGAAAAAACTGAATAAATATATACTTGCGGTGGGGGGGGGGGCGTTATCAGGTACTAATATAGCTTGTTGTTGTTGTTGTTGTTATGTGCCATCCACTCGGCCCAGACTCATAGCGATCCCTCCCCGGGTTTCTGAGGCAGTATCACCACGGAAGTAGATTGCCCCATCTTCCTTCTGAGGAGTGGCTGGTGGGTTTGAACCTCCAGCCTTCTGGTTAGCAGTCAAGTGCCTTAGGCACTATGCTACCAGAGCTCCCACTAATATAGCTAGCAGCCAGAAACTCGGATTATCCCTCTGGTACGGCTTGGGCCAACCTACCTGTAACTCCAAGAAGTCTGTATTTCTAAATGTAATCCTAATACATGCGGCACAATCCTCAAGTAGCTAGACTCCAATATAATTTAAAACAACAACCACCTCAATCGCACCTACCCATCCTAAAAGGGCGATTTTTCCTCCTCTGCAAATGTAAGCGGTGGCATAAGAAACTCTGAGCCATGTTACCCGCTGTCAAGGGTGTAAACAGTTCTAACACCTAGGGGGAGGGGGAGGAATGCGTCATTTCTTCCACCATCACAGACAATTCCAAACTCTGAAGGAACTGGGTATTTTACCACCCTCACCAGCAACCACTGTTTATTTTTGGAACAAATGCTTGTGATGTGGGAAACCCAAAATGTACAAGTCAGTACCGAAAAAACAAAATCCAGCATTCAACTGTGAAGAGGAAGGCTTTGAGCAACACACAATTCTCTAGAGTAGAAGTCCGAAAGTGTGCCCTGCCAGCAATTACGGCGCAGCGGAAAACCGCACCTGGCTGCGAGGGGATTAGGGGCAGCCTGACTCCTTTGCTCGGGAGCCCCACCTGCCCAATCCAGCATCAAACTCCGCAGGCCTGGAACCCGGGCTGAAAAGAGAGCTCGACCTGTCCACGTGATTTTCCAAAGCGGTCAAGCAGGGTCCAGACAGGGCAGAGGCCAGGCGGGCCAGCGAGTACAGGGCGCTAGGGTCCGCGGGGCGCGGCGCGGTGGCATCAGGAAGCAGCACTTCCCTCCCTTACAATCGGGCCTCGCCGAGGCCTGGGAGAGAAAGCTCGTGTCGCTCCTCTGGCCTGGCCCTAGATGGGAAGAAGACGTCAAGGCAAGGCCCTTCCACCTCTGTCTCGTCTGGGCCCCCAGGGTGGCTGTGCAGGATAAGGGTGGCCCTGGCGTCACCTTTGGTCTGCCGCAGGAGTCGGGATCCTGTCGACAGGCCGGGCCTCATTCCCTCCTGCCTCACTGGCTTCTCCCCCCACCATGCGCCCACCCTTGCCATCCATGTCGTTCCATTACTTGATTAGGTCGCGGTAGTCCAAGAAAGATAAGATGAGGAGCAGCGGGTCCGTGGGCAACGATTCTAGGGTCAGCAGTGCTGCCTCTGTCTCCATAGCCGCCATCTTGCCTGGCCCCTGCAGGCCTGGCCCCGCCCCGGCCCCGCCCCCCGTTGCCGCCGAGCGGCTCCCCAGCGGCCCACTCAGGTTTGTTATGTAACCACGAGGCCAGCCCCACCGCAGGACCGGCCGAGGGGGCGGCTCCCGAGAGGGCTCCGCCCACCGCGCCCAGGGCCCAGCGCCAGCCAGACAGGAGTCGCGGGCGTCTAATCCCGCAATCGCCTGTTGTTGTTGTTGTTATGTGCCCTCGAGTCAGCCCTGACTCATAGCGACCCCTCCTTGGGTTTCCGAGGCAGTATCACTACGGAAGTAGGATTGCCCAACCTTCCTTCCGAGGAGTGGCTGGTGGGTTTGAACCGCCAGCCTTCTGGTTAAGTCAAGTGCCTTAGCCACTATGCTACCAGAGCTCCCTAGTAGCTGGGTATTTGCCGGCTGCCCTCTTCCTCACTGATCAAATCTCCCGAGCTTTCCTAGCATTCCATTTCCGAAACTGGATCAGCTCTGGCCCCTCCCGGCCTTTGTTGACAAATCGTCTGCTCCCCTGTCCCCAAGTCCTCTTCCGAAATTTTACACTCAGGTGTTCTGGAAGGAGCCCTGGAGATGCTGTGGTTAAAGCGGTTGGCTGCTGATGAAAGGTTAAGTGGTTCAACCCAGACATTCAGCAGAGAAAAACAACTGGCCCTAAATATCACACTAATTCCTCTCCCCTTTCACTCCAAAACCTATCGCTTCTCTTCGTTTTCCGGTTCAGGAACCCCTCCATTCCACCTTTCAGCCTCTCTGGGCTCACACGTCCCATCCCTCGAACACAGCAGGGCTCAGTAGGGGCAGGATGGGAATCACCCAGAGTCGTCAGGGAAAGGCTCTTTTTCCAAACAGCGAACTGGAGAAACGTCACGTCAAGGGCATAATTATACCCTCTAAATAAGACCAGCACATAGACATCTTAGCATCCAAGTGTGAGGGTCAACAACTCAATTAGGTCCTCATGGTTATTTTTCTGCATACTACGGCAATCCAAAGTGTATAATATATAGATTTATTTTATTATTGTTTCATTGTTTACCACGGGTGAGATCCCAGGGTAAGTACCCTCAGTGTGAAGGACGAACCGAGACCTGCACTGGGTATAACCAAGGCAGGTGATGGCTGCTCCTCAGCCTTGTTGTTGCTGTTAGGTTCTGACTGGTTGTTCTGATGCATAGCGACCCTGTGTAGGACAGGACAAACACTACCTGGTCCCATGCCATCCTCAAAACCATTGCTATGTATGAATCCATTGTTGCAATCCATCTCCTTGAGGAGTTTCCTCTTTTTCCCCTGACCCTGAACTTTACCAAGCCTGATGTCCTACTCAAGCGACAGGACACTTCTCATAAAATGTCCAAAGTACTGACAGAAGTTTCATCATTCTTGTTTCTAAGCAGCATTCCACCTGCACTTCTTCCAGGACAGATTTGTTAGTTCTTCTGGCAGTCCACAATATTTAACATTCTTTGCCAACACTATAGTTCAAATGGATCGATTCTTCTTCAGTCTTCCTTATTCATGTCCAGCTTTTGTATGCTGTGATAGGTGGGGTTGCATGTCAACTTGGTTGGACCACAATTCTGAGTGGTTTAAGTAGTTGTGATGTGGTTATTCCCATGATGAGATCAAATGTATATGTTTTGAGCAGCCAATCCATTGAAAGGGAGTTTCCCTAGGGATGTGGCCTGTTTCCAATATGTATATAGACATCCTGGGAAAATGAGAGATTCTTCTGTGGATCTGGATCCTGTTGTGCTGCCTACAACTGTCCATGAGCGAACAATCCACCATTCAGCCTAGTGATCCTGGATTCATCATCTGTTGGAATCAACAGCCAGTAAGTATACTGCCTGCCAACCTTGAGCTCTTCAGATGCTACAGCTGTGTGACCCCAGGAAAAGCCTCCAGTTTGACGTTTGATCCAGGAAGTTGGGACTTGCCAGCTTCTTTAAGTGTGTGAGCCATTTTCCTAAGATAAATTTTTCTCTATATATATGTTTAAGCTTTACTGGTTTTGCTTCTCTAGAGAACCCAGCCTAACACACATGCATATGAAGTGATTGAAAATACCATAGCTTAGGTCAGGCGCACCTTCATCCTCAAGTGACATCTTTGCTTTTTTTTTTTTTTTTTAAATCACTTTAAAGAGGTCTTTTGCAGCAGATTTGCCCAATGCAATATGATGTCTAATTTCTTGACTGCTGATTCCATGGGCATTGATTGTGGATCCAAGTAAAATGAAATCCTGACATTTTCAGTATTTTCTCCATTTGTCATGCTGTTGTTTAACTGGAACAGTTGTGAGGATTTTTGTTTCCTTTATGTTGAGGTATAATCCATACTGAAGGCCATAGTCTTTGATCTTCATCAGTAAGAGCTTCAAGTCTTCTTTGCTTTCAGCAAGCAAGGTTGTGTCATCTGCATATCACAGGTTGTTGATGAGTCTTCCTCTAATCCTGCTACCATATTCTCATATAGTCCAGTTTCTGGGATTATTTGCTCAGCATACAGATTGAATATGTATGATGAAACGATATAACCCTGACACACACTTTTTGTGATTTTTAAACCATGAAGCATCCTCTCATTCTATTCAAATGAGTGTCTCTTGGTTCCACATGAGCACTGGAATTCACATTCTTTGAAGTGTTATCCATCATTTGTTCTGTTGCACATGGTTAAACGCCTTTGCATAGCCAATAAAACACAATGAATATCTTTGTGGTATTCTCTGCTTTACTGCAGTAGTATTAAAATAAAAGTGGGAGGAATGCAATGAATTGTGAGCTAAGGAATGCATCACTTGCTTGATTTCTTCTTTTTTGTTGCTTTCTCAAGGTTTTTGGGGAGTCCAGGAAGACCTGCGTTTCACACACTTTTTATTTCCTTTACTAGGAATGAAAGGTTAGACTAAGTACCTATGCCTAATTTGTACTGTGGTGCCTTATGTGTTCTCATGAGGCTGGAGGCTATGTCACTGGTGTTTTACATACCAGCAGGGTCATTCATGGTGAAGAATTTCAGCACAACTTCCCAACTAAGACAGACTGGGAAGAAGGACAGGCCATCCGCTTCTGAAAAAATTAGCCACTGAAAAACTTATGAATAGCAGTGAAACGCTGTCTGATATATTACTGGAAAATGTATGAATGGCAGTAAAACACTGCCTGATATGACTGGAAAATTTACGAATGGCAGTGAGACGTTGTCTGATATAGTGCAGGAAGATGAGCCCCTCGGGTTGGAAAGTACTCAAAACATGACTCCTCAAAGTAGAGTTCACATTAATGATGTGGATGGAGTAAAGCTTTTGGGACCTTCATTTCCTGATGAGATATGACTCAAAATGGGAAGAAACAGCTGCAAACATTCATTAATATTTGGAACATGGAATGTATGAAGTATGAATCTAGAAAACTTGGAGGTTGTAAAAAATGAAATGAAATGCATAAAGATCAATATTCTAAGCATTAGTGAGCTGAAATGGACTAGTGTTGGCCATCTTGAACCAGACAGTCATATGGTCTACTATTCTGGGAATGACAATTTGAAAGGAATGGCATCACACTCATAATCAAAAGGAACGTTTCAAGATCTATCCTGCAATATAGTGCTGTCAGAGATAGAATAATAGTTAATATTACTATTATTCAAATTTATGTACCAACCACTAAAGCCAAAGGTGAAGAAATTGAAGATTTTTACCAACTTCTGCAGTCTGAAATTGACCAAACATGCAATCAAGATGTATTGATTATTATTGGTGATTGGAACATGAATGTTCAAAACAAAGAAGAATCACCAGTAGTTGGACTATATGGCCTTGGTGATAGAAATGATGCTGGAGATTGCATGATAGAATTTGTAAGACAAATGACTTAGTCATTGCACGTACATTTTTCAACAACATAAAGAAAGGCTAAACAGGTAGACCTTGCCAGAGGAAATACACAGAAATCAGATTAACTATATCTGTGGAGAGAGGTGATGGAGAAGCTCAATATCATCAGTCAAAACAAGGCCAGGAGCTGCCTGTGGAACAGACAATCAATTGTTCATATGCAAGTTCAAGTTGAAGCTGAAGAAAATAAAAACAAGTCCACAAGAGCCAAAATATAACCTTGATTATATTCCACCTGAATTTAGAGACCATCTGAAGAATGTATTTGAGACACTGAATGCCAGTGACCGAAGACCAGATGAGTTGTGGGATGACATTAAGAAGGTCATGCGTGAAGGAAGCAAAAGGTCATTAAAAAGACAGAAAAGGAAGAAAAGACCAAAATAGATGTCAGAAAACATTCTGAAACTTGCTCTTGAATGGAGAGTAACTAAAGCAAATGGAAGAAATGATGAAATAAAAGGGTTGAACAGAAGATTTCAAAGGGCACCTCAGGACAGAATAAAGTATTAGAATGAAATATGTAAAGATCTGGAATTAGAAAACCAAAAGGGAAGAACATACCTGGCATTTCTTAAGCTGAAAGAACTGAAGAAAAAATTCAAGCCTCAAGTTGCACTGTTGAAGGATTCTATAAGCAACATATTGAATGATGCAGGAAGCATCAAAAGAAGGTGGAAGGCATACACAATCACTGTACCAAAAAGAATTGATTGATAGTCAACCATTTCAGGAGTAACATATGATCAAGAACTAATGGTATTGAAGGAAAAAAATCAAAGCTTCACTGAAGGAATTGATGAAAAACAAGGCTCCAGGAATTGATGGAATACCCATTGAGCTATTTCAACAAATGGATTTAGTGCTGGAGGCACTTACTCATTTATGCCAAGAAATTTGAAAGACAGCTACCTGGCCAACTGCCTGGAAGAGATCAATATTTATGCCTATTCCAAGAAAGATTATCCAACAGAATGTGGAAATTATTGTAAAATATCATTATTGTGACATACAAGTAAAATTTTCTGAAGATAATTAAAAAATGGTTGCAGCAATATGTTGACAGGAAACTTCCAGACATTCAAGCTGGATTCAG